CACATTGTTGCACGACGCGCCGTTTTGCAACAATGTGCAATTTTCGGGAGCGTCTCGAGGCAACAAAGTTGCAAAACGGTGCCCCCGTGCAACAATGTGCGTTTTTGGAGAACAATTCCCGGCAACAATGTTGCAAACGCGATAACACGTTTGCCATAATGTGCATTCGAAAATAATCCGAGTTAGCGATGTTACAAGTGAGAATGACGCTTGTAACAATGTTACATTCAAGCGTAGTGCTTGTAATGATGTTTGCGTTCGAAATAACGCTTCTATTAATGTTGCAATCAGAAATAGAGATTCCAACAATGTTTGCGTTCAAATATAACGCTTCAAGCAATGTTGCATTCAAAAGTAACGCGTACAACAATGTTTTGCATTCGAAATAGTGCTTCCATCGATGTTGCATTCGAGAATGGAGACTGCAACAATGTGTGCATAAAAGTTTCAAAGATGAACAGTGAAATAAAAGTATCTTGCTACTTAAAAATCACCGTTCAACGATGCAACAAAGTTGCAAATCCAGAACGCGTTTGCAACATTGTGCATTCGAAAATAATAGGAGTTAACGATGTTGCAAGCGAGAATGACGCTTCTAACAGTGTTACATTCAAGCGTAGCGCTTACAATAATGTTTGCGTTCGAAATAACGTTTCTAATAATGTTGCAATCTGAAATAGAGATTCCAACAATGTTTGCGTTCAAATATAACGCTTCAAGCAATGTTGCATTCAAAAGTAACACGTACAACAATGTTTTGCATTCGAAATAGTGCTTCCATCGATGTTGCATTCCAGAATAGAGGCTGCAACAATGTGTGCATTCAAGTGTCAAAGATGAACAGTGAAATAAAAGTATCTTGCTACTTAAAAATCACCGTTCAACGATATAAAAGTTCTTTTCCTGCTACCGCAACCGTGTCCGACATCTCGATCAATTGGCAATCTCAACTAGCACGGGAACAATGGCTCCGCGCAAAAAAAAACGTCATTATACATTTTCAACATATTTCTCCACCCGTATAAATAACTCCTCTACATAGTCTATCGAATCCAATTGTTAATTTCATGCGAAATTAACTAATTCAGATGTTTTGTTGAGTTAAGGTATGTATCAATTTTATATAAGAGTTCCAACAATTCTGCAGTTATAGTACTTGAAAATAAGCGAGAAACTGTACGTTACTATCTACATTATTAGTAATGTTAAAACAATTAAATATTCACCATAAACATGAATTAAATATATATACAATAGCGTTAGAGAAGGATAGCTTGATCAATGAGTTCGACAAGAAAAGATATAGGGATAGACAAGGACAGAAGAGATTGGCGGGAAAGACTATCGTCATCTCGCGTCTGGTGACGCGAACTTCGATTTCTTAATAGGAACACATGATATACACAGAGGTATTAGACAAGGAAAGCACTAGTGTGCGACAAGGACAGAGAGGGAACGCTTCCCATTGGCTGGCGGGCCGCTGAGCTCCGCCTCCCTGAGCCTCAGCCACGTGGGTCGGTGAAAAATTATTAATAACTCGATAATTAGGACGATTTTGTGAACTTTTGGAATTGAAGAATAGAGTGTGGTCCTTTAGCAACTTTCACATATAGTTTTTAGTGCTCTGAAACCTTTCAGTAATTAGTTATTAACAATTTTAGTACGGGATGTCGGGAACCATACCGCACACCCTTCAGGTTTTTCATTAATTTCGTAGCTTTATACAAATCATTTATGCACATTCATACGTGTGTTCGAAAGGCTATTCCTTTAGCTAGCTTCTCGTTATATTTTCATTAACATGTTCGTCGTAGTTTGCGAGGTATTAAGCATTATTTGGGTAAGTACTACACTCGTCGTATTCAAACGTAAAACATTTCCGTAATTTTTATTAATAACTCGATAATTAGGATGATTTTGACAACTTTTAGAATTGAAAAATGAAGTGTGGACCTTCAGCAACTTTCACATATAGTTTTTAGTGCTCTAAACCCTTTCAATAATTAGTTATTAACAGTTTTAGTACGTGATGTCGGAAACGATACCGCGTACCGTCAAGCACCTTTACGGTTTTTCAATAATTTCATAGTTTTCCACTAAATTCTCGTGCAACTAACTATACGCAAATTGAAGGAAACTCTTTTGGCTACATTCTCGTACAATCTTTATTAACATATTCCCTTCAGTTTAGGAGTTATTAAATATTATATGGGAGCGTCCCCTGTTCATCGTACTGGACTATAATGAACTGTTATAAACAATTGCTAATATCTAATAAACCACACCACTTATGGCTACCAAACCAATTGTAGAATATAGATAAAAGTCCATTCTACATTCTGCATACTTGAAAGTGTATAATTAGACACGTATTTCTATTGAAATAACGAAAATATATTACTATTGAATGCGACTTTTTAATCGGGTGTAATATCTTTACGGTTTTTCAATAATTTCATAGTTTTCTGCTAAATTCTCGTACAACTAGCTATACGCATCTGAAAAGCAACTCCTTTGGCTATATTCCCATGTAATTTTTATTAACATATTCGGTTTAGTTTAGGAGTTGTTAAACATTTTACGGGAGCGTCACCTAGTCATCGTACTCGAGTATACCGGACTGTTATAAACAATTGCTAATATCTAATAAACTACATCACTTACGGCTACAAAAATGATTGTAGAATATAGATGAGGGCCTGTACTATATTCTCCATGCCTGAACGTGCACAATTAATCATGCTTTTTGATGAAAATGACGGAAATGTGTTACACTTGAATACGACGAGTGTAGTACTTACCCAAATAATGTTTAATATCTTGCAAATTACGATAGATATATTAATGACAATATAACGAGAAAGTAGTTAAAGGAATCACCTTTCGAACGCATGTATGAAAGTGTATGAATTATTTGTGCAAAGCCATGAAATTAATGAAAAACCGAAAGGGTGTGCGATATTGCTGCCTACACTCTGCACAATAATTGTTAATAACTAATTATTGGAAGGGTCTAGTGAATTAAAAACTATATGAGAAAGTTGCTGATGGTTCGTACTTCATTTTTCAATTCTTAAAGTTCATAGAAATATCGTAATTATTGAGTTATTAATGATTTTTCACCGACCCACGTGGCTGAGGCCCAGGGAGGCGGAGCTCAGCGGCCCGCCAGCCAATAGGAAACGTTCTCTCTCTATCCTTGTCGCACACTAGTGCTATCCTTGTCTAATACCTCTGTTTATATTCTGTGATCCTATTAAGAAATCGTAGTTCGCGTCACCAGACGCGAGATGGCCGTCTCGCCCGCCATTTTTTCTGTCCTTATCTATCTCTATACCTTTCCTTATCTAACTCATTCCACTGGTGCTATCCTTCTCTACCTCTATTTCTTTCCTTGTCTAACTCGTTTCACGAGTGCTGTCCTTGTCTATCTGTATTCCCTTCCTTGTCTAACTCATTTGTCTAGTGCTATCTTCTTCTACCGGTCTGTTTTCCCTTGCCTTACTTATTTCTGTATTGCTAAATACCTCGACCAGATATCCTTTGTAGTAAGCACGACTAAATATACATATCGGATTGCGTGGATAGAACTGTTCACGATCTTTTGACAGTAGTAGAACATGCGCATGTAATGAATCATCTACCAATAAACAATTGTGTTATTTTCTTATTTGTAATTTCATAGTTACGTTTTATTCCAATTCCAACCACTACTAATGCTGTAATCTTATTCTACGCTGAATCGGTAACGTTGGTAGCGACACGAAAATGATCAGGCTTCGAAGTCCGGGACAAAATGTCCCATAAGATAATAGGGTCTATTATGTACGTCGTTTATGGTCTAGTATCCGTATATTTAATATGTGATGAGTAGTAATAAAAGAAGTTTAATATTAAACGTAAAGATATATACTAAAACTGTGTGAAGGTGTAAATAAACGATCTGAAATTGAATATATTTTATAAGTTGCATAGGTAAAGTATCTTTTTACGACGCATTCTTTCTCTATAAAAAATATTATTTATAAGTTTTATTCAAAATAGTGTGTTTCGTTTGTAGCTTTTATCACATACATTTACGTGAATGCACGGACCAGGAACATGATCCTAATCCTGAAGATTACTCCCTTGATCATTAACCTCATCACCATAACCTAACTTTTATTTACCTATGTTATCATTTGTTACCAAACGTTTTTTAATTCATTTGAAAATAAATTATGGCCTCTGATACAAAAATAATCTGTTTTCGTCACTGTTCTTCAAAAAGCATATTTTGTAAAAATGTTCCGAAAATATGTCCGATTTGCCAGTCGTGCATTTTAGATTATGACATAGAACCTTTCCTTGTTCCTTATCCATATAATAATGCGAAATACGAGCCAAACAGTATAGTTATTAGACCATCTGAAGGCACTTTCTTAAATGATTATCATATTGCTAATGATTTGCACATAGGAATCACAAATTCAGAAGGAATTGTTTTTGAATATGACAAGCAAGGTTTAATACTAAATGATTGTGCAAAATGGACAAATTGTATTGCATTAAATATAATTCCTTCATCTTGGGAGAGTCATTGGAATGAAACATTAAAACTAATATTAAAAGACACTAAGTGGAAGTCTGAAAATTATGATGAAATGTCAATGAACTGTTTCAACTTTGTTATAGAGTTTATAAATAACTTGCACTATATGAATATGAATTTTCTAAATAAAGAAACTATGTGTGGCAAATTAATACTGCCAAAACTTCACGATGCACTTAAATACAATTCATTATTTAAGAAATTAGAAACCACTGAATTTTTTATATCTTTGTACACACCTAATGTATACCTAATTATTGTAATAAATAATTGAACATACGTTTAGCAGAATATTTTATTTTCTGTCCCAGGTTAGGTTATTGTCAAAATAAAATGAGTTCTAAAAATCTCAGACTGCCTTTATTAGGCAGAAAGTATGGACCAGGATTTCTGCAATTACTAAGAAATATTTCCTCTAACAATGATCAATGTAAATTTGATGTCGTTGTCATTGGAGGTGGTCATGCTGGTACAGAAGCTTGTGCAGCTGCTGCCAGAATGGGTGCAAAGACGTTACTAGTTACTCATAAAAAAGGCACAGTAGGTACGAACATTATTTGTCTTTCAAAATCAGACATTATTGAAAACAAATTTACAACAGTGTTTTTGTAGGAGAAATGTCATGCAATCCATCCTTTGGTGGAATTGGGAAGGGAAATCTCATGAGAGAAGTGGATGCTTTAGATGGCATTTGTTGTCGTATATGTGATCTGTCTGGAATTCAATATAAAATATTAAACAAGAGTAAAGGACCAGCTGTATGGGGTTACAGAGCCCAAATAGATCGCGATTTATATAAAAAACATCTTCAAAAAGAACTTTTCAGTACACCTGGCCTACAAATATGCGAATCTTCCGTAGAAGATTTAATTTTACATGGAGATTCTCCACATTGCCGTGGAATAATTTTAAGTATGTTATTGTTATTGTAGTTTTGAAAGAATGAAAGATTTAAAAATGTTATTTTACAGGAGATGGAACAAAAATACACAGTGATGCTGTTGTTATAACAACAGGCACCTTTTTAAAGGGTGAAATTAATATTGGTTTAGAAAAAAGACCTGCTGGTAGACTTGGTGATGAACCCAGTATAGAATTAGCTAATACATTAGAAAGAATTGGGTTTAAGATGGGAAGATTAAAAACTGGTAATTGTCTCATATTTGATATCTTTTATTTACAAAGATCGAAATGTGTAAACGTGTTTCGATATTTCGGCAGGTACACCACCGAGATTAGAAAAATCAACAATCGATTTTTCTGTGTGCATAGAACAGAAACCAGACGAAGTATCAACACCATTTTCGTTTATGAACGAAACTGTTTGGTTACCTGTGGAACAACAAATGAGCTGTTATTTAACTTATACAACGGACGCTATCACAAAAATTATAAAAGATAATATGCATTGTAACTTACACGTTACAGAAGAAATATCAGGACCACGGTATTGTCCAAGCATAGAAAGCAAAGTTCTCAAATTTGCGTCTTCCGAGCATCAAATTTGGCTAGAACCGGAAGGATTAGATTCACCTATAATTTATCCTAGTGGATTATCGTGTACACTCCCCGCGGAGAAACAAGAAGAACTTATCAAATGTATTCCAGCATTAGAAAATGCAAAAATGTGTACGTTCTTTTTTAAATAATACTTCGTGCTTTTAATTACTTCGATACAATTTTATATGTTCGTGGATAGTAAAACCAGGTTATGGAGTAGAATACGATTACATCGATCCAAGGGAACTAAACGTTACATTAGAAACAAAAAGAATACCAGGATTATTTCTTGCTGGACAGATAAATGGTACAACCGGTTACGAGGAAGCAGCCGCACAAGGAATTGTAGCAGGTGTTAACGCTGCAGCTAAGGTTAACTTTATTTATTAAAAAATTTAGGATTTCGTGGAATTTGTTTTTCACTTTATTTCTAAACATTTACTTATCAGGTTCTCAATAAAAAGCCTCTGATACTAAGTCGAACAGAAAGTTACACCGGTGTCCTTATCGACGATCTTATAATCTGTGGAACAAACGAACCCTATAGAATGTTCACCAGTCGTGCAGAATTTCGACTGAGTCTACGACCGGATAACGCAGATCGAAGACTCACTAGAAAAGGTTACGAAAGTGGTTGCGTATCAGAGGAACGAATGAGGAAAACAGAAGCAATTTTATCCAAACTGGACGAAAATATCGAATTGCTTAAAAAAGATATATACTCGTGTATAAAGTGGTGCAAGGTGCTTAATTTACCAATGACTAAAAATTCTCAACTGAAATCTGCTTTCGATATGCTACGTAACCCAAATGTAAACATCGATATGATAATCGCAGCATTTCCAGAGCGTTTTGGACATCTCGCCGATGATCCAATCGTGAAGCAAAGATTACAGGTTTGTGAAAATGAAAGATTTTACTCGTTCGTCGTTAATGTACACCAGATGAAAGCAACAATAACGTCTTGCCGCGAGTAATATCGTAAATCAGTACAGCTTCGTCGTTGATTATTTTAACCAACCAATTGATCCTGCAGATAGAAGGGATTTATGAAGCGGGCATCGAGGGACAACAGCAAGAGGTCAATGAAATTCGCAAGAACGAACAGATGATCATACCGCCAACGATGGACTATAGCTTGTACGTTTAATTACGCGAAATGAATATTGTTGATATCTATCAAGTGTAATCTGTCTTCTTAACCATTGACTTTATGTTTCCATACAGACGTCAATTAAACCTATCCACGGAAGAAAAGGAAAAACTCTCGGAATTACAACCGTACACCGTACGTATATATTTATAAATGAATTTTAATTACTTTTCACTTATCTCAATCACTCTTACAGTCTTACTATTTTTTATTCCACAGATTGCTGCAGCCAGTCGAATCCCAGGTATCACTCCAAGCACTATCTTGCGAATGATATATTATATCAGATCAAATGTCCATAGTAGGACATGCGTGTAATATCGAATCGATAGAAATAAATAACATGTTTAAATTGCACATGTCGTACGTGTTTATTTATCATGTCAGCAGATGTAACAGCTGAAAATGACCGTGATTGAATGGAAAAGAAGTCGGTGGTTCGATTAAAACGTCTATCGGAAATCGAGGGCGACCCAAATTCTCAAGATGTCACTCAACTATCGGTCGCGCACGTTCGATTCACGTTGGCATAGTAAACAAAAAGGTCGTTGCCCTGCGTTGTTTAACCACCGGATGCACAGCGCCCATCAATCTTCCTTAAATAGAAGCCTGTCTAGTCTGTTGACAAGAATTATCGAAACACCGTGTTTGCTCGCGTTTCGAAACCGGACAGAAGTTACTAATAACTCGTGTGTCAACAACACGGTGCTGGTGTTTGGAACACAGTTCGCGTAACTTGGGATTTACGTGGTCGGGACGAAATTCAATTGCAGGCTACTTGTAACATTCGTCCGTTTAATAAGGTCTGAGTAATTGTCTCTAACTTACAATGCGGTCGAAGTTTCCGTTTCGTTGGGCTAATGTCAGAGTCCATGACAGGGAAGTTGCCTGATTGAATTAGGAAGGGTTCGTCCAGCTTCAAACTTCTCACTACCGAATTGATGAAGCATACCCACAGTAAACGTCGTTATGAGATTACTGGTATAATCAATTTACCCATTGTAGGCACGCGCGACAGTACCCTTACGTTCCTTTCAATCTTAAAACTAAAATGATACTTATAGTCTATTGTAACGGATAAGGACGAAAGGAGTACATTTACATCTATACGTATATTTCGTTTATTTTACATTGGAAAAAAAAAAACAGGATAACTGGAGAATATCGAGGAACTAGCTAGGACTAAGCAGAGGTAATAAATACGAGACGGAAACAGGAAATGTACTAACAGTTATCATTTATTACCATTAGTGCGATAGTAAATACTGTTACGATACATTGTACAGGAATGGTGTACGATCGGCCGTAGTACAGGGTCGTTGCAATCATAAATTTCTCTACCATGGTAATCTGGCTCTGTTTCCTCTCTCTCTCGCTCTCTCTACATGGTTAATCGAGCCAAGACGAGCTCGCCACAAACCCGTCTCTAAAATACGCTCGACGAGTTTTAATACTATTGTCTCTCTATAATAGCCTCCTATAGTTCACCGAAGAATCGACCTTTACCAAACTTTTTAAACAGTTTCCCAACCGACCAAACGATTCTTCGTTGTGTCCTCCGTGACATCGCTGTAAAAAATATACAAAAAAGTGACGAACTATTTTGGCCAAACTGCGAAACCATCCGCATCGTGAAGAATCCTAACGTTGAAAATCAAACATCCGTCCGTTACAATTTCAATCGTTCCATCGTGTTTCTTGTACAATTAGAAATGAAGAATTTTCAAATCAACTCTCTCTCTCTCTCGAGGCATGGTTAACGTAGCAAACGCGTTTCTCGGAAAGAAACGTCCTCGATGTTGCATTCAACGTTGGATTTTCCACGCTGCGAGAATGCACGCACGTAAATTACGCGAAGGCACGCGGTCCTCAATAATCGTTACGCGTCTCGAGCTTGATCGCGAGGAGGATTTTCTCCCAGAACGATCGCCAATTTCTCCTCTTTCCTTTCTCCCTCCACCTCCGTGCCCTCGTCGTGATTCACGCGTTTCCCCCTTAAATTCTACGTCTCTATACTGGCAAGCTACCGTGTACGTGTATACCGTTTATGTATGCGTGTACTATACGTTACGTTCCTCTTATTGTTCATATCATACTCCAACAACGACTACTCCGAATAAATTAGTTTAAGGCTACGTTGTCCTCCTTAGCTCATCGATTACCCTAACTACCAGACGAATACTATCGTCGAGTACGCTGAATGTTGAGTTAATGTACACCGAGGTCCGTCCTGCGATTACTTGTTTCTTTTTCTCCAACAACAAAAGGATCTCCGTAATTGTGTATTCTTTTTTTCTCTCTTTTTTAAATCGTGAAATTAATCGCATACGACGGACTTGAATAACTTATACGCTTAGTGAGCCCCGGTTAAGAGCAACGCGACACAACGTTCGCTATAATTACAAAAAGTAACATAATGACAAGAGAATGCTATCTACAAGGAGAGATGCGATGGCGATGGGACGATCGATGCGTAACGAGAACTCCGACGACAACGACGATTAACTTGATACCTTGAACGCGTCGCGGTTTCGTCATGTCAGATGTGTAAAACGGGACGATTCACAGTGTCCGCCTTGGAAACACGAATACACCGAGAAACGAAAGAGTTACCTAGGCTCGACTGTCGCCAAGCTCGTTACGCATTGTTCGCCCGCGATTATACACAGCAGAAAGGGATTTATAACGAAGTTACTGCTCGTTAATAGGCTAATTACACAGCGCCGTTCACACGCTCGCATTGTCACGCAATTATTACGTGCACGCACGCACGCACTCATGTCACGCACACAGAGTCGATCCGAGCGTCGGCAAAGAATCGAACGATTTTACATTTACCCTTAATTATTTACGCGACCTGAGCAAAAAGAGGGAATTTTCATTTTCAATTGATACACCATCGACGACGTTCGTTCTACTCTCTATCATTCGTACTTTAGAAGAAAAGGAACTAACGTGGTTGCTGAAACTATCTGTTCTCCTACGAACACATCCATTTTACTTATATTGTAATTTTGCTCGATTTTTCCTTAGTATTATTATTATCGATTCGGTAAATGCAACAGGTGCAATTTGAATTGAGAAAACAGCTGCGAGTATCTTCGCAGCGAGTTCAGATAGTTTCGTTTAACATGAGCGTAGGGTACACGGCTCAGTCTCTTGGATGCACCTGAAGAAACAATGACAATGATTACTCTACTCCGGTTCACGCGTCGAGAACTACGCGTATACGTGTGGTCTAAAGAATAGCAAACTCGAGTGCGAGGTACTAACTCTACGCAGACGTGAGACGGTTTTTATGCGGTCCGTGCTGTTGCACCGGCGACTTCCCATGACGTTCCACTCGATTTCACATTAAAAGCCATTTAAAAGGAAAAAGAAAGAAACTTAAAATTTCACTGTTCGTCCAATGAAATATAAATAAAACGGAATCTTCGAAATGAACGTCACTTCGTTGATTAATTCAGAGATATAGAATATAACGTCTGTCTTGAGGGAATGTCATCGGAAATTACGCCGGTAATCGCGCGGAGAAATTGTAATCTCGCGCGGTCGCACGCGATAAGAGAACCGAGGAGACTTCACCTGGTCTCCGTCTGGTTCCCTATTGTATACAATTCGGCACGTTGAACACCACGTTTGGAAGGCATTTCAGAAGGCATTGAATTCCTAGTGTGTATTGTCACGAGTTGTCGTCCATTATGCCCTGACCTACCTACGTATGACTCCGTGAAAGCGTGACTCATCTGAACGAAAAACGCAAACCGCTTCTTCTTCTTCATTTCATTCGAGTACAATCTGATACAATTTATTGCAAAGTTCGATCGGATATTATTTTCGATCAATGATCTACTGTGTTTACTTCGTACCGCTGTATTAAAAGTATCAAAAGAATAATCCTAATTAGATACGTACAAACGATGCTTCATTGTGCTTTCGGTGAAAAAATTACTGACGCAATTGTAAACTCTTATCAAAAGGTTGCCGCAACTTGTCAATTAAGAAATAAAATCTGTTGCTTCGAGTCTTGCCGTAGAAATTCATTTTGGCAGTGCTGATCCTTTTTTTTTTTCTTTTCTCTTTTTCTTCTCTTCGAGCCCCTCTTAATTCGCAATCCGTTGCCGAGAGATAGACGAAGAAGAAATCGAGTCTTTCGATACGCTACAAGAGAGAGAGAGAGAGAGAGAATGAATAGTGTGTGGCCAATATCGACGAGGTTACATCGTAAGGTTCCTAATGCTACACGTTAATGGCAGCCACGATTGTATCCAGCCACGATGCAAATTTATGCTAAATGAAATTGAAAGAGTGATCGCTCGTGGCTGAAGGCACGCCCGATGAATAACGATGCGGGACGGGCCGCAGAAGAAAGCGCGGAATTTCATCGTTCGTCCTTTCGTGGCTCGGTGAAGCACGGGTCAAGGTCGTCGATGACCTTAATCGTAACCTACCCCAAAGGAAACTAGCCGCGGAAAATTTGTCAACGTTATGTCACGTGGTCCCAATCGCAAGTCTTTCTTTTCTACCCCCTTTAAAATCCACGTCGCTACGAAAACACGTAGAAAGTTAAACGAACCACGGCGTGGATGTGCCGAGTCGTCATACGATAAAAACCAAAGTGTATTAGAGAAAGAAAGAAGCGACGCTCGAAACTTTGACCGTCGTTTATCAACGCGAATTCAGCGTGTCTGGTTATATATATCGGCCACAAATCATCTCGTTAACTCTGCTCATCAGCGCATAATCGAACCGCCAAGCTCCCGGTTCCTACGAATATTGTCCACACGACCAAGTTCTCTCTCAGATTCTCTCGACGCGTAGCGGAACGGACATTGAATTCTCGCGTCGGATCTCGCGTTAACACGGGGGGAAGGAGGGAGGGTTGGACGAAGAAAAGACGGACGAACTGGTAGAATTTGAGGATGATAACGCAGAGACTGACGCGAGAGACAGAGCCACCGGACCGAGGGGCTCTCCCTCGAGAGGGGACTCGAACCAGGGACGGGTCTCTATGAATATTTGTCGCTTCACGTTGTTTTCTCTGCTCTCCGTTCCGTTCCCTACCGAGACAATGAACTATTCAAAGTGACAGGCTCGCGGCTCTCTCGCGAGTACTCCGCCGCGCCTAGGTCCGCGGGGACATGCGCGGTTTCACGCGCTCTTCGCGACCGTGCTTCTGCTTCTTCTTCGTTCCAAGGTCGACGACCCCTCGACCAGACAACAGGAGAACTTTCAACAGATGGATAAGAGAGGCCTACTTCGCCAAGTCACTCTTTTCCAGCATCGCAAGTTCACGGTTCTCCCGGGTCGACGACTTCTAAACTCTCCAATTATCACTGCGAGGAAGAGTCTCTTCTACCGTTCTCCAAACGCGAACATCGATCGTTCTACTCTCGCAGCCTCGAAATTCACGAGTTCGACGATCGACGACCTAACAGAAGACACATCTTCGTGTTCTCCAAAGAAGAAGAAACCTGGTATCAATTTATAAACGTGACCTCGGCAAGCTGCCCGCATCCCGAATCGTCCAAGGATCCGCGAGTCCTCCTAGCGCTGTTCCGTTCTTCTGTCTTCTGTTTATCGGCGAACCGGCAAGTAACGACCGCGTTCGCCGAAAGAAATAAAGCGTGCTCGGTGAGAGAAGTTGTTGGTGTGTCGGAAGCGGCTGGCTTGGAGAACTCGCTTAGCAGATGGTTTCCAGCGGAGCGGTCTTCGTGCTCGGATTCTGAGTGACGCTGTCGCCCATGCTGGGCATCCCGTGGCTGGTGGTGCTCAGCCCGTTTCCCTGCCTTCCGGCGTTGGTCCTCGGGTTCCTGTTGCAGATCCTCTTCAGCGCGGAGCGTACCTGCGGCTGGCAGCCAACCACCGCGAAGATCAGCACTCCTTGGAACGCGTTTATCATGTCGGTGAAGTACCAGATGTATTGAGGCCCGCCGACTGCCCATGAGACCACGTCGGCCACCCAGGTCACGCCCATCACAACCACCAGCTTCATGCAGACGCGGCCTAACGCGGCTCTGGAACAGACAAAAAAACATTTTTTTTCCTTCTCGTTTCATGCTCGTTTATACAGACGGAGGGAAATGACAGATAGCAGAGTGTGACAGGGCATTGAAAGATTACGATCTATTTGGGGAGAGAGGGAGAGAGGTGAATTAAGGATGAGGAGGGTTTATTAAATTTAGGAGGATGGTCTGGATGACTTAATTGGTGGAAGTAGCCGTCTGGCGAGATACGGGTTAACTTAAGGCTTCGAGGAATTTTTTATAGTAGCCTTGGTAGATTTATGACGGTCACTGTGTGTCTCGCTTCGAATTCGAAGAACGAGGAGATTCAGAAGGCAGTGATTCCATGGGATGTACAAGAGATACATGTTACTCGAAGATTAACTGCTTTATTTGTTCGAGAGGCATAAGGAGATGCGGTGTTTCCAGGGAATCACGGTGAAAAGAACTTTTTACTCGCGGTTCTTCTTTTTTTTTCCATCGGAGGATTTCTGTACGATGTCGCGAGGGGAGGGGCTACCGTGACGAATTTCCGGCGACAAAAAGCGAGCCGATTCAATTAGCGCGGCCGTTCAATTACGACGAGCATAAATCAGGCCGCAAACGTATCCGTTTGTTCAACGCGACACGTTGCGCTGCGCGGGTAATGTATGCATCGCATTGTGGTCGAAGTCAAAGCATTATTAATTCGTTCCGGCTGAGTATTCGCAGCCCGTTACGGTGCCGTGTCGCGGAATTATGGCGTTACAAAGGTCACGACCCTTCTTGATTTCCAACTTTTTCCGAGCAACTTAAACTTTGAAATTTGAACATTTTTCAAACTTGTCCAGGTAGATTCGTTGAAATTTCGTCTGGATAGCTGTGGTTTCCGTAACCTGACCTCTGCAACGCCATATTTGTAGGTTGACCACGTTCGAAATTGCCCGCGGAGGTCAGAGTTCGAATTGAAGCGAATTACCGCGACAACGGTAACTTTCTCGCCGCTTTTCCGCTTCGGCCTGCATGCTCCTTTCGTCGTGGTTCGCCTCTGCGCTATTTTTGGTCTGCCACCGGCTGGAAATCGTGGGATGTTTGCATGTTCCCCGGTCGTAACAATTAGCGACACCGCGAAAATAGAAGGTTTACTCGTATCCTGCTATTACACGATGCAACGTGGCCATGTTACGCATACGTATTACGATAATTACGGTTTGATGCGGAGTTTAAATAGAAACAGGAGGAACGGGACTTTAACGTGCCTATACGTTCACGATGCCTATTTTCTCTTGCGTCTTTTTCGTGTCGATTAGCTGTTTATACACGACCGAGAGTGCGTTTATCGTTGCTCCTTTTCGCCCTGTCGCTGGATTCTCTCTTTTGTCCTCCAACAAACAGGTGCAAGGTTTGCTTTTGAATTTCTGAAAAATGACGAGGTTCCAGTGTTTCTAAGAAGTTTGTGAAAATTTGAGTTTGACTTAAAACCCGCATATTCTTTCGAAGAGGATACTCGTTACCCAATAGATGCAAATTATATAGAAAATTAAAAACAATTTTAATTTTTTCTGGGAAAATGAAAGGATTCTTCGGTGCCTTTTCTCACAAACTTAATTTTCTCTAAATAAAGATTGAAGGAAAGATTGAGGAAAGGCACCGAATTAAACACAATTTTAACTTTCTACAAATAAAGATTGAAGTCTGTGAGAAAAAGCACCGAAAAATCCTTTCACATTCCCCCCAAAAAAATTCACAAAAACTACACTCAGCTCTCTTAATCTAGATCAAACTGAACTACAAGACAAATCAGCACTCTCCACCCGCAAAATAATTTGTCTTTCCCGTTGAAACGATACCCGACACCGGTACCAGGGCGAAGATTAATGGAAACATCGTCGGGGTTTCGTCATCAATGATGCAAGGCTTTTATTATCGATCCGCCTTTACGCCAGCGGCGGTTATTATTCGAATGAAAATTTCATCGGTGTCTGCGATGGGGTTGCTGCCTGAAAAATTCATCGTTCGAACGCGACGATTTGAATCCAGACAACGAAACGCGAAAGAGCGGAGAGGCGCGTTGGAAAAGCCCGCGACAGCTAATGATATGCGTGGAAAGCAAATTAGATACGAAAGGCAGGCGGTGAACTCACGCGTGCAACCGTGAGCTCTCCGAGCTGTGAACGAGGAAGCGCGTGATAAGCATGAGTACTCGTCGAACGAAGGAATGCAAACAAACGGTCGATCACCTGTGCGAGAACAGCTGCGGCGAGTAGAACCGAGCCGATATCGCTGATCCAACGAGAAAGTACGTGAAAGGGGACGAAGACGACTGTTCGAAGCCTCTGGAATCGGCTCTGAACGTCAAACAACCGTGGAAACGACGAGCACGCGCGTTCGTACTCTTTACTTCTTTCTACCGAGAGCCTGAAGATCCGCGAAGACTAATGCTCGATCCATGGACCAGAGAAACAGTCTACATCTTCGTTATTCAGATTTTTTCAAAGAATTTACAGTTTGGTCAACTTTGGAAGGCTGCAAAGGATCGAATAGAATTTTCTTAACAATGTGCTCCGAAAAATCGTAAATTAGTAATAACAGGACAGTGTATTTATTATTATTTATTTATCATACATACTCCGTGCCTTGCGGCTTAGGAGGGCTTCCGGTTATACATGTGTGGCGGGTACGTCGTCGTCAACAAATCCTTACCGAACCTCGTTCTATTCTTCCACGCGAACTTTCTCCTTTGCAACTCCTTCAGATTTTAGTTTCCGTTCTTTTGTCTCTCCCCGGGTTAAGACTTGCCTTCGTCCTCGAGTAGCCTAAGAAGCGCACATGTGGCATCCAGGTTCGCAGGAGGACGAACGAATTTTCCGTTTCCACCACTTTCTCCACTTCTATCTTTATCTACCGCTACTCCTGTCTCCCTGTCCTAACAATATAAAAACCCAGTACGCCTACACCTCCGGACAGTTT